CAGGGGAAAATGAAGAACAAATTAAATGTTCGCTGCAAGCAGTTCACTAAACAAAAGAACAGTAATAGTGTTTTCCTGCCATTCTTTTCATTTCTCCCAGCATAAGTACACATCATCTGGATACAGTCTGTTTCTTTGCCAGGGCTTCAACATTCTCCCCTGAATTAATGATACTGGAAAATCTCCACTTTTCATAGACTCCGATAGTCTCTGCTGAGCAGCAGAGGGCTGCACAATACTTGCTTATGCAATGGCTGGTCCCGTGCCAGGAACAATAGCCTGTCTACTAGGAACAACCAATTCACACACAAACCCAAAATGCTCTTCTCATTAAATGTCTGAATTAGGTGGAGTAAAACCACCCCAAACCTACTCCTCATACTGTACACTAATGTCAGCCTCTACACCGAGTTAAATAATCCCACACCCTAGTCTTTGAGGAACAGTTAGCATAAGTAGAGGAGGATGGCACTTCCTTATTCATTACCTCCAAAGTACTCTTGACGCTATCAAGAACTATTATTACAGGACCAGCCAACAACAGGACATCTGAAGCAGTTAAAATGCAACTTGATCTCAGAAAGTACTTGCAGACAAGCGCTGCTTTGGCTATGTCAGGCACCAGCATGCTGTAGTCATATGGTAGCTCTTCTGTCCGCAGGCGTGATCTGTCCCCAAGTGGATGAGGAGGTGAAGAACATTATCATCTTTCTTGCAAAGTAATCTGCAGCACACTGCCCGTATCAGCATCTGTTTCAAGGCTATTCTGGACCATGCTTTAAACATGGTGTGTCCATATTTCCTCCCAAAGAAACACTGAAGGCAGGAAGGTCCCATAAAGTTAGCTTTATCTAATGTGAAAGGAGGAAGACCAGGTCTTACTGTCTGAAAATTAGCTTAGCTGCAATAAGGTGCAAGTCTAGATTTAAATTTTTGCTTCTGTCAGGATGGAAACATCAAAGAACCCTGGGAGAACTGTTCCTCCATGTTGACCCGTGGCTGAGAAATAAGCAACCAAATCATTGATACTGTCTTCCTGACCTCAGAATTCCACCCTTTGCTACCTTACCAAATCATTACTCCACTGGGACGTCAGCCTTCCATCCTTGCTCACATTTTACTGGTAAGAGGAAACAGAATATCTCTGCTTTAAATGAAAGCTCACTGTGAAGCTTAAGTAGCAAAGAGATACAGACTGGACAGTTAACCTGACCACCAGCACCAGAAATTCACGTTTTCCACTCCATTCTGCCCTTCTAGAAGTTTTTTCTGGAGGGCATGGGAGATTTAGGGGCCACATCCCTTTACTTCTGCCTTTTACTGGCAGAGATGAAGAGGCTGCTGCCTTTCCTGCAATTTTAAGAGTTGGTATAAACCAAGTTCTATTGCCCTGGGGAAAAGGGCTTTTACAACGTGGCACATAATGACACTCAAGAGGAGAGACACCATAGCTTGACACTTACCTCATCTGCACAGCATCCCTCCCCAGCCTCTCAGTCATAAAACAATACCTTGCAGACTGATATTTTGCAGAGTACTCTTGGAAAATGAACTAAAGCAAAGTACAGCTTTAGGATCAAATAAAAGTTAGACACAGAGCAGAACTGCACCTTACAGGGTGAAAGCACCTGGTCAGTAAGGAAAAGTCCTACAGTTCCGTGCAAAGCAATTTCTTCAAGTGATGCCTTCTCCAACCATTTCATTCTTCTCTGCTGTTATCAGGGTTTCCCCTCAGTTTTTGTACCAGAACACAACCTTGGTTTTGACTCAGGAGGACTGGGTGAAATCCTGCCTGCACTTCTCCATGCATGGTTTTGCAGTGCTGCAATGTAGCTTCTCTGTCCCACATGAGTACTTCAAAGGCATCTACACTAATGATATCAAAGGGGCAAGTTCATGTCAAAGCTTCAGGCCAGTAGCTTGTCTCTCTCTGTCAAAAGCAGGAAGCTACGGTGAGCCCTGGAACCCACTGAACAGAAAGAGGTTTACAAACCCCCCCACAAAGCAATGGCAAAGAATGAAAAATGCTGCAATCTGTGATGAAAAAGACAGTGACAAATAAGGACAGATGTTAAAAACAGACAGCTGCATCTATCCATAGCATCCTCTGTCCCAGACCGCTTAAGTTGCTGAACTTGAGGAATCTGCACGACCTATCTAAGTGCACATGCCCAATTAGCCAAGTACCAGGGCAACACACAGCATCGCGCAACAGCTGGAATAACCTGGGTGCATATGAAGCCAGAACTCTTGGAACACTGAAGGGGAAAGAAATAGGCTGAGTACCTTCATGCTAGAGTTTGTAATAGCACTGAGTTTATGGATTTTATAGCACAAGTCACATTTACTGCATTTTTTCCTTCCAGAGGGTTCTGGTTTTTTGTATTTCATTCTCTTACCGACAGAGCCATCTAGTGGATGAGACGTCATTTGTTAGAAGGAAATGTTGATTAATCATGCTGTAAGGATAGTACACATGTCACACATAGGGTCTTCAAAGCAGCCTATAACAAATTAGCCTATCAGTTAGCCTAGTCAGAACTTGCTAAGTGATACGCTTGTCTTGGCTGGGGCTGAAATTCCTACCAACGTGAAACTTCTAACTTTTCAGCACTAATTCACAGTATCTTTCTAAAGAGGGTAAGCAGTTCATCCTAGACTCAGCCTCAACCTGAATTCATAGTGCAAAGCTTTTAATTTATGCAAAATCGTGTATCTTCTTCAAAGCTGATGTGGATTAGAGATGTTACATGTTTTAAATAAGGCTTAAAAGCTAAGGCAACACTGGTTGGAAAAAAAAAAAAAGTTTAAAAAGGTTTCATTGCTGCATGCTCAGTGGACAGTCACAGAAGGTGAGAAACATCAGAAGGGGTTGAAAATTCTTAAAGCAGATACATTGCAGAGTTTGTTCTGCCAGTCAAACCTACCGGGGAGGGTTGTTTCTGAAATTCACAGTTGAGCCCCTGCCCTCAGCGCTGCTGAATGCCACATCAACTGGTTCAGAGAGAGGAGATCTCAGTAGGGAGAACATTGCACAGGAAGGAGGAACAGGAACTTTAAAAAAGCAATAGAAAAGGTAAGCCAACGATCACCATTGGAAACAACCCCCAACCTGCTACTGCCAAACAGCTCTCATTTGCTTAAACAGCATTTAACCATTATACCCTTTAAGGTTCCCCTTGGTGTTTCAAAGCCTTTGCCATTCAGTCTTTGGTCAAAACGTGGTGGCCCTGCCCTCTGCAGAAGCAGCTAGCATCTAACCTTCAGAAAAGGCTACATGCTATTTAACAGTCAGAAGGGAAGAGTGAGATGCAAAGCCAATGGGCCAGATTTGCAGCCTTACCAAGATGTTGAATCTCTTCCAAAAAATACTTTTAGTCAAGTCCTCCACCTGTGCCTTACTTCCTTTTCCACATATTAACGGTTCTTTTTGGAGGCCTTACAGAACAAAGAAACAGAGCTCTGAAGGCTGGGAAGTACCAGATTAGTCCCAGCACAAAAAAGATGTGGCAATCCTCACTGTTGGTTTCTTCGAGAGGTTACAGGGAGACTCAAGAGAAGCCAGACCCAGAGTAGTTCTGGCAGTGATTTCTCTTTGCTCAAACTGTGAGTACAGCTCTTTTCTCTCCCGTTACTAAACAAGGTAACTGTAACTTCATCACTGACTGTGCATCAGCCACGGCCAGGATGACACCCTTTAAGAACAGCTTGCCATCCTTCAACAATACACACACACTCCATCCTATACTAGTTTATATTTAGGGCAATTCATTGTTGCACTAATCAATCTCAGGTTTCTGTTAGGTGTTTGCTTTAGAAGACAAGGCAGTTCTATCTGCTGAAGAAGCACCCTCTAAAATCTTGCAATAGCTCCTTGACTGAAGTTATACAGGACATAATCACGTATCACGCCATTCCTGTTCTGCCTGTTGACGGTAGTGTAACATTGTACAAAAATTCCAACTTGATTAGCAACAAAATCACAAGCCTGATATATTAAAAGCAGGAATACCCGGTTAACAGACTGCAAATAAGAGACATCTATTTCAAATAGCCATACTACTACCTACTAGGGAAGTGGACATCTTGTATACCACCATACAGCAACAAGCAAAGCCAGTAGATGTTGACAGAAATGCCCATTCTTACCTACCAACCCATTTCCAGAGACCCCAGGCATTAGCATGGGATACTACAAGCAGACAGTTCAATTCTTACCATGACGCTCATGGTACAGCAGCAGGATGGAATTTTTTCTCCTTTTTGTGTTAAAAAATGTCAGTCTCAGTGGGCATCTAGTATAAAGGCTCAAAAAGGACTTCAGCTTCATGTTGATTTTAAGATTGTCTTTCCCAACAGTCTTGTGAAATGCAGAAGACTTCACTTAAGCAGGGGGAGGAAATTCTGTGAAAGTTATGTCTTCTCTCCCGCAGTAAGAGGTAGAACCAAAGCAATTATAAGAATTCCAAACAATACAAACAGCTGTTGTTACCACTGATTAGAAAGGGGGGTGTCTGCCTACAGACCAGTGCAGTTTTACTTGCCGGTATCTTACACAGATACACTCTGAGGGGCAAGTGACCTATCAACTGCTATCAGTCACAATTCTCTTCTGAGTGACTGTCGATTTGAAGAATGACGCATTTCCACAAGGAAGCGTTTAATATCATTACTAAAGGGCCAAATTGCTCATTCCAAGTTGGAAATACTGTCTTCAGGAAAGCATTACTGCTATACGAACATGACACACATGCCACGGGCTTTGTTAAAACTGCCTTGTCTTTTGGACAAGTTCCTCAGTCCAGGCATAAGACAACTCTAAAATGTTTTTATAGTTAAGCTCAAACGTACCTTAAACACATTTTAAGGAGGATATTTAGGATCAATTACTACCCAGAAGAACACGTAGCAGGGTTTTTCTAGTGCTGCGAGACCAAATACAGTTTTATTTACAGACAATTCAACAAATGAATACATTAGTTCAACTTCCATGTCTGCACGCAAGGGATAGTCTTCACAGCATCAGAGCAGAAAAGCAAGACTAGCGATTTTGTACATGTACAGACTGATAATTGATTGTATGCAAGTATGTGGTTAGGTACAGAAGTGTTACATTTAAACATTTCAACCATTTAAGTGAGTAAGAACCACCACACTATACTTTCAGCAAAATAGTTACAACTACATTTGGCTTCCTGCAGATCAGCTGATGATCTGTGTATAGACATTAAGACCAAAAGCTGAAGTTGATCCTAAGTTTTGTTCAGAAAATTAGCATTTGTGCTGAGTTTATTTAGTGGATAACCATTTATAAAACTTTCCCCATACACCTGCACTACCTTTCAAATTTACAAAACATTCCAAATTTATCCTTCAAAATGCCTGTTTTATATTGACTTCTGTTCCCAGGCAGAGAGAAAAACTACCAAGAGAGTTAGAATAGAATTTTTCACTGCAAATACAGACTCAGGCTACCAAAGTTGTGTCTTCCTTATGAAAAATTCACTCTGTGTCCAAAGAGAAAAATTAGAAATGCAAGAATACAAGCTCAATGTACAGATCTCAGGATGGACCTCTATCTGTTCTAGGTCCATATAAAGCAAATGAACGTAGTGCTTTGCTTCTCAGGAATCTGCCTCTGCTTTGCTGTATTTTCCATAAATGCAGCTGTTACTATGACCTTAAAACACACTAGTTAAAAATTCTTCATCAAGAACGCCATCCAATTCTTTAGAGAATGAATGACAACACGAGAAGAAGAAAAATGAAACATGATGATCTTTAAAAGTCAATGCATCACACAAATACAAAGTACTCAAATCTAGATATAAAGTCCACTACTTTCCAGAACAGGTAAAGTTTGAAATCAACCTACAATATATTTGCCCAAGAGGAGTCCTGTCATGTAAGAGCAGACAAGTTTGTCAGAAACATTTATTAAACAAAACTGATGCCAATGCACATATAGTCAAGTTAATACCCCCTCATAAAAAAAAAAAAAAAAAAGCTTGTTGGTCAAGACCAAAATTATCTTCGCTTCTGGAAGATGTTGCCACGGCCCATACCACGGCCTCTTCCTCTTGCAGCCACTGAAGAAAGAAAACATCAAGGATGACATGAATTTGACATAACTGCATATTTATCTCAACAGCTGACAAGCAAAACATAAAAACCACTCAAAGTCTCTAGCTTAGAAGCAGGGAAATTAGGCTATCCTATCAAGTTCAGAAAGTGTGATGACAGCAAAAAATTTTATGAGAAGAACAAGAACTGATGGGTACACAGCCTTGCTACTTAGAACAGATGCAGTGAATATTTATACACTTTGTGTTCTTTCTGAGATGACACACAAATTTGTGTAGCCCAACTCTTCCAAGGTTTTGCAGCAGAACTCAGTACATTTCAGCAGATGTTACTCCCCGATGTAACCTTACTGCATTTGCTAAAGTTAACCAAGGACTTTGCGGCCCATGACTATTACTCAACCTTGTTATAACTCCATTGTTCCCCTGAGAAAGGGACAAATGAGAATGTACTACAGAATGGCTAATAATTACAGCTTCCCAGTAGTTTAAGTACCATCTTAATATCTGAATTTGTTTTTCTACAAAAGCTTAATAAGAACAGTATTCCAAACAGCTAGTGGCCACAATCATTGGAAAACAGAAGACAAAGTTTGATATGAAGTTGCCATTTAATAAGACTACTCACTATATCTAAGTTATTGTAGCATGAATATCACACATTCATGTAATCGGACAGTTTGAGTCTTGACTCCCACCATTAAGATGAAATATACAGAATCATAGAATCACTTTGGTTGGAAAAGACCTTTAAGATCATCGAGTCCAACCTTTAACCTAACCCTGCCATCCCACCACTAAACCATGTCCCCAAGCACCTCATCTATCCTTCTTTTAAATACCTCTAGGGATGAGGATTTGACCACCTCCCTGGGCAGCCCATTCCAGAGCCTGACAACCCTTTCAGTGAAGAAGTTTTTCCTAATGTCTAGCCTAAACCTGCCCTGGCGCAACTTCAAACCATTCCCCCTCATCCTATCATCCATTACGAGGGAGAAGAGGCCGACCCCCACCTCACTACAGCCTCCCTTCAGGTAGAGGGCGATAAGGTCTCCCCTCAGGCTCCTCTTCTCCAGACTAAAGAAAAACAATGTAATCTTTCAGTTTCTTACAGCTTACACTTCCTCAGTGATAGAGATGACAGTTTTCCAGTTCTTATATAGCAAAACGTGTGGGGGGGGGTGGAAAAAGACCATAAACAAATTGTACGCACCTTGAGCTTTGAGAATAGCTGCTTTACCTCGCCCAGCTCCAGAACCCTGGTTTTTATTCTTCATGCTCTTCAGCATAGGAGCGTTCTTCAACATATCTGGTAAAATGAGAAACCGTATCTTGCTGCCTCTGATGTACACCTGTTCAAGCTGTGCCACTCGTCCATCTCTGTATGTCACCGTTATGTTGGACATCTGGAAGGTAAAGACCAGTCAGTGCTCGTAGAGGCCTCTGACACAGTTCTGTATTCCCATTCCTCTTGCCTGCGGAATATACAGCCAGGATTCAAGTACCAAAGCCAAAGACTTCCCAAGCATACTGCTTTCTCAACCGGAGTTCTGACACAAGAGATCCAGGACCATTTAAACATAGTCCTAAGGATGCTACTATTCAAGCAGGCCCAGGACTTTTGCTTTCTCCCCAGTTTGCAAATTAGTTTTATCAGCTGTGTTAGTTTTGTTTTCTTATATTGAATCAGTTTTAATAAGGCTGTTCTAGTCCTAACTGTTAAGGAAGCATTTTGATTTCAACAATGACTTGCCTAAAGTCAATCAAAATTAAGCCTTCTTGGGATGACCACAGTAACGTGCATTAAAAAAAGCTTCAATTTCTTAAATCAAGGTTTGTTTATTCTTACACTCAGTGGCTTTAAATAAAGAACTCCAGCAGAAACATTGCCAAGAGAACAGAATTTTAAGAACCCTAATATTATTGACAAGAATGCCCAAACTGACTCTAAAACCAAAGAGAATAAGCTCTGGCCTCTTTGGAGTGCTCAGTAATCCCAAATCCATTTCACTACAGTAAGATGGTGTATGTGAAGCATTACAGTTTTCTTTATCGTAAGACTAAAAGCAACAGTCTTTTAATCAAGCTGCCAATAAGCCAGCTATCAGCCTTTCCAGGCATAGATCAGATAGCCTTCCCTCCATCCTTCTGAAGCAGGTATTACCTGACAGTTCATGTTGTCTTCAGCTTCAATAAGTTTGCCTCGGTAAACTTCTCCTGTATTGGTCTCACATGTCACAATATGGCCTTCAGCCTCATGCAGGACTTTAATTGGTACTCCAATCGACATGTTTGCAGTGCTGTGGCTCTACACCTGAGATAAGAAAAAAAAACCAAAGGACATAATTACAATAGTTGTAGACTAGGTTATACCTACACAATCTTATGATCCTTCCCAGTACAAAGTGCTAATTCTCTCTTGTCCAAACACATAATATGCTTTGACAATGCATTAGTAAAACTTCTCTAGAAAGATGCTCACGGGAAGAAAAGACTTAAAAGATCAGCAAAAGTCGTTTCCAAGTCTTTTCTGACCCAGAAAACGCACTTGCAAATAGCAGATAACGGACCACTTGTATAACCAGGTGCACCCCGTAGCGGTACTGCCACGCTGAGCGCCGACGCGCTGAGCCGGA